ATATATGTCATAAAGTACCACATTAAAAAAGGAAATCTACATGGAAATTAATTTTCAAAAGGCTTTTTACATCTGTGTTTTCTCTGGGAGCTGTGGAGGAAATTATGTGCTTGAACAATCAAATCATTATTTGCATATTCCCTTCAGGCCATAGAGACTGACATGTTGTATATACAACAAATCAAACACTGACGAGTTTCCAAAATGTAACCTCAGAACCTCGGTTTGGCGGAGGTACATTAATTAGGTGGATGCTTGCCGTGGCTGGTACAATCAGTGGAAGAGGTCTTCTTTCCCTTTTTGCTCACTGCCACCTCCAACGCACACCAACACCTGAGCAGAATGCCGTCACTGCAGAATGCAGCATCTGGGTCTTCAACAGGGGCAGCGCATGGCAGGGGCAGTGCATGGCAGGGGCAGCGCATGGCAGTTTACTCATTCACAAAGTCATCCAAAGCACAGAATTTAGCTCAATGCAAAAAGCAGCTCTGCAAACCCAAGTGTAATGAGTTTCCATTTTGGGATTATTCCTTAGCAAGGAAGACTCAAATGTCTAATGCCAAGGGTAAACTAGTTGACTTCTGCTTCTTCAGTGTCATGTTCTGTGTGAAAAATACATTTCACAATTATGTCCCATTTTTTTAGAGTTGAATAAGAAACCTTCTCTGTGTTCACTTGGAGTTTAGGAACAGCAGTCAGGTAAAACAGCACCCATCTCCCTGCTGTTTTATGACAGTGAAATGTAGTCTTGACATTTGTTGTTTAATCTTAAAGACTCATCAAATTATCATTCACATGTAGTGTGGCCTTGGACACCCATGCACGTTCATTCTTTTCTCTCCTGACATCCTGACATCCTCAACATTGATGGAGTAAGCAATGACTAGACTGTTGGTATGCATCCATTCATCCTCAGAGCCCTTCTCTGTCCCCTTCAACAATGGGAAGCATGTCCCTTCCTTCTTGTCTGCCCTGGCTTGGGCTGCTGATGGGTCCCCAGAGCACTGCTATTCTGCAGTTACTTCTCTTGGGAGGTCTCACCCCAAGCAGCGTTACCTGGTCTACTTTAGTCTTCAAGGTCCTCATCTTACATGGAAGAAACAGAAATTTCAGTAACTTGAGACAATTCATCAGAGCATCTTCACATAGGTGGGCATTTCCTCGCCTGCTGGTTTTCAAAAGCTGTTTATAATCCCATGATTCTTGAGGCTGGCATTTAGTTCAGAGGTAGGACACTTGCTTAGCAAGCTAGAAGCTCTGGACTCTGTCCTTGGCACCAAAACCATAACATAAACCTCACCTAAATAAAGTTGACCTATAATCCAGTGATTCTCCAAGTGTCATCCCTGGAGCAGATGCAGAAGAAGCACTTGGGGATATGTTAGAAATGTACAGTCTCTCGGACCAGCCAAAACTATGGAGTCAAGTCTCTGCACAAAGTCTGTGGCGCTGGATTCCCTGCAATTTGAGAACCACGCTCAGTCAGGTGGTGGAACTCGAAGTTGTGTCTTGGTCCCACTGCTACTTATGGTGACTTAGCCAAGAGCGCCTCAGACTCACGGTGGGAGTCACTTTTCTACTTCGCTGCACCCTTACTCCCACAAATGCATATTCATGCCTGGACTCAAGCCAACATTTATAAACAAGACTTTCTCTCAAAATTTTAACTGATTTCACTTATTTGCTTTCACTGACAATACCTTTTGTTGTCTATGAAGTCCTGAAAATAAAAGTAAGACTTCTAAAGTTGTCATTAAATTTGCATCTCCTTTTAATCACGTGTAACATTTATCTTAGAAGAACAGTGCAAGGTGAAGTTTCTTTTCAAGAATATGAAGTGAGATTCCCCCAGCCCCTTCCTGAGTGGTCACTTTCACTTCACTTCTCCTTGATCTTCTGTTCATAGTCATTCTCTATTAAAGATGATCTGTGATTCTTTTCTGGCATAAGAGGTGTCTGTGCCTGACTTTTTCCATCTTTTTTTTCAGTGTCGGGGACTGAACCCAGGCCTTCATACCAATGTCCATCTCCAGCTTCCATTTTAGTATTTTTTCATTTTAATTTTTTATTTGAGATAGAATCTTGCTGTGTCACCAAGTTGTCCAGGCTGGGCTCAAACTTGTGATTCTCCTACCTCTACCTCCTAGAATACTGGGATTACAGGAATGCACCACCGTACCTGGCTATCTTTTCCTCATCTTAATTATTTCTTTGGCTGATTCAAAATTAGACTAAGTCACTTTTTGTTATTCTTAAGACTATTGAATTCAGAAATATTACAACAAGTAGTCATTATTTGAAGAAAAGACTCAAATCTTTTTATGGGCTGGGGATATAGCTCCATGGCACAGCGCCTGCCTGGCAAGCACGAGGTGGTCAGCTCAATTTCTGGAACAAAAAAAAAAAAATCTTTTTGAAAGCTTTAAAAAAACCCAGGTTTTGATATCAATGTATAAAGAAAAGCAAATGTAACTTTATAAATAATTTAGCCTGAATATACAGAAATTTTGCCACATGTTATACCTTGTTAATACTGTGTTATGGTTATTAATTTTTCTTCACTCCATCACATCTCTATTTTAATTTAATGTGGACATTTAATGAGCATTTATGTTTCAATGTTTTAGAGAAAACTTAAAAGACATTATAGTTTCTAGACTAGCCTTCATTTAACTACTACACTTAAAAAAGTTTTTTATTTTATAGAAATGCAAACTGATTCAATATTTTTTGACTCCAGTCAGTTTTCATTTTGATCAACACATTGCTCCCTGTGTTAGACAAATCTTAAAGTTTTAATACCTGTGTCTATAAAGTTATTTTCTGTTTGCCAGCTTCTCACACAATAGGCCATATCGGCATAATAGCAGCTAAAAATTTAGGTATGAGTTCTAAGTTTTCACTCATATTTTTTTCAAATTTTATCTTTTTTTCCCTCACTGGAAAACATTTTTAATAAGCAAATTTATTCAGCATTTTTCTTTTCAGAAATTTAATCTTTTTTTTTTTTTTTCTGTTCTCAGGTCAGGGTCTACAGGGTCTCACTACATAGATCAGACGCATAGTGATTCTAGTATTTTCAGAGTACCAAGTGTTGGGATTACAGGTGCACGCTACTGTGCCCAGTCTCAATCGCTTTCTCCACATGCTCTGTGGGCGGGGCTGGCACGGCAGGCGGGGGACAGCTGGGCTCTTCCTAAGCAGGTGCTTTAGGCTGCTGAGCTATCAGGCCAGCCCCAGAAATTTAATCTTATAAAAATACGCCAGGAACTATGTTTAGAAGCTTAAAATGATGTAAAACTTAAATATAATAACAATTTTGGAGAATGACTGTCAAAGATGTATGTAGTTAATACCTGCCTAGCTCTACATATCTTACATGGTAACTGCCACAAAATTTGTGTCAGTTACAATAATTGAATTTTAATTCATATTGCTTCTATCACCCACTTTCTTAATTACTGAGTTATTTTGCAGTGAATCTTAGGAATTCAGTAGCAGTTTTAATCATTGAATGCAGGAAGTTATTGGTAAATCAGAATACCGTTTCATTATATGAAACCCTATCTTCAAACTAAGGATTTTTCTGTGTCATTTGTCAATAAGCACCATTTACAAACTTCTCTGTCTGGCTGTATTATTGATCTGATTCCTAAACAGCAGCTAATAGGAACATTAATCTACAAGTGAGCACCGTCCTAAAATGAGGGTGTGCAGCCGAATGGATTTATCACTAGAAAATTCCAAGTCTCCCAATCAGACACAAACTTCGGAGGCTCCCTAGTTCTCTAATAAACTTGCATTTCCTGTAAAGATGAACGGGAAGGATAAAATGCTCACATGGTTGCTAGAAAACATGTTTTCATCTTGACAGGCTCTTGGTACAATAGTAGTAGAAACATCTACCGTGACGACGCATGACGTAAGAAACAAGGGATGTTGCCCAGAATGATTTGCAAGCAGAATGCATCCCACTGACTGGTCTGAAAAACCTTACCTTAGCTTTGGGAGAAAAGCAAGTGTGTCCACAGATATTCTGAGGTTTGGGGCACTTCACCACCTTGCAGAGCTCACCGCTGCGGGTCTCCACTAACTTCTGGAGTTTAGAACATGGATGCCACGTTTTCCGTAAAACCTCATATCCAAGAAGGATGCCTTTTGGCTTCCCCGGAGACACCCAATCAATTCGGAGGGATCTGCAGCAGAGAGAGTAATCGATACTTCTGAGAGGACAACATTTAAGCTCCCTGCTCTCAGCTTCATCTACTTTTCAATTAATCTTCCAGACTGACCAAAAGCTTTATTCCATCAAAAACTTCATAACTGGAAGATGGAAAGGACAGATACTAATATATATTTAATATACACAAATGCATTCATATACTCCTATGTGTTCCTACCATCCAAAATATTCGAGTCCTTGCTAACTGTGCTTTTCTGAGAAGACATGGCAATTACCCAGTGTGTTCTCAGTTTAATTTCAAAGAAGAAACTTCTACTTTTTGTGATTCATCAGAAAAAGCAGCAGAACACTGAGTTTGACAAGCAAAGATAAGACCCAAATAACACGACCTGGCCAATAAGGTGAAAATTAGAGTCTGGCAAACCTGATCCTCATTTTTGTACCTTATTTGCCACACTGGGGCTGGGATTAATAATATGAAACAAAGTGATCCAAAGATCAACACAAGTTGGCCATGAGATTCCTAGGAAACTGAGATTTTCTCTTTGCTTCTGCCATCCCCCTTCTCTTTGCTTTATGCTGTATGTGAGGTTTCATCTTTAGTATTCACCTTGCTGTGGTCTGTGAAAGTCTTTAAGAATCACAAAGATGGCGCCAAGGGGTCTGGTATTGTTTAGATGTTGCTAAGGACCACGTTTATTGAGAACTCTGCTGAAGTCACTATTGTTGAGTGTTTTACATGTAACCAAAATAAATGCCCAAAGTGATAAAAATCTTTAAAATTACTAACTTTCTTTAGATGTACTTTACTTCAATATGTCTTCCTTTTTGAACTGCCTAAATGGTTTTATTTCTCCAATTATTCTTTTTAAAAAATGTATTTAGTAAGGGTCTACAGGGTCTCACTACACAGATCACGCTCGTAGTCATCCTCCTGTTTTCAGCCTCCCAAGAGCTGGGATTAAAGGCATGTGCCACCACACCCAGTCTCAATCGCCCATCTCGGCATGCCCCAGGGGCAGGCATGCCACGGATTGAAGCCCCAGCTCCTGCGTCTGCCTAAGCAAGCACTTTAATCTGCTGAGCTATCTGGCCAGCCCTTCTCCAGTTATTCTTGAAATAACATTGTCAGGTCTGTTTTGATGGTTAGAAATGGAGAAGTTGGACCATCCCATAACAAGATATCTTTGCATCATCATATTCTGAAAAGGACACTTAATAATTTTTTAAAAAACTGAATCAGTATTTTAAATGCAGACACACTCTTTGGAGGGGTACAATGAGGCTGTTTAACATGAGAGAAAACTTCAGGGGACTTTGAATGATCTGCTAATCTCTCACTGACAGATGCGAGTGAGGGCAGAACTCCAGCTGTTCACAGAAGAGATCATTCTGGTTTACTTTTGGCTGGATGTTTTAGAACTTCAGGTCTGTATTTGGTCTGCTTTCCAGAAAGATACTGCTTCAGTCATACACATTCGCGTTTTCCCATAGTATTCTATATAAGCTCAAGAAGTAGGAAATGGTCAAAGTTGTTAATAAATCCCCATAGAGCCTCACGATATCTTATTACAGTATATCATGACAACAAAACCTTTTTTTTCATATTTTAGGGAAGGGTCTACAGGGTGTTCAGGGTCTTACTAGGATTACAGGGATGCCACCACACCAGTCTCAATGTGCCCTGGGGATGGGGGTGGCACGGCAGGCCCAGGGATTGAACCCTCAGCCCCTGCACCAGCTTGCAAGCCCTTTAATCTGCTGAGCTATTTGGCCAACCCTCTTTTTTATATTTTTTGGTAAATATAAAAGATAGTTACATAACAATATCATACTTCTTTTTCAAAAAAGGAGTAGAACTCTGACACTTCAGATGAGTATACTGTTCATAATTCTAGAATTTACAGCCATAACATTTAACTGATCACAAATAGTCCCCGGGTACATTTACCTGGAGATCATCCCAGTAAGTATGTTAGAAGAGAGACGGTACCTGGGAGCCTGGTCACTATTCTTCAAAAGGCTCACTGTAAAAATCATGCAGTAACTTACACTGAGCAAGTGTTTACCATTGCAGAATAACACTTCAAATATACCTTTTCTTTTAAGAAGACATAGATCTTCATAGGCCAGATTCTTGACTCTATCAGAATTCTAGGTGACATCCCATATTAGGAATTCAATTAAGTCCAAACATTTACATTAAAAAGCAGCCGTCAAGATAAACCTTGACATTTTAATAGACTGCTAAAAAATTATTATTTCATTTTTCTTGGGGGAACAAACATAACACATTCTAGTAATAAGTCTCCATAGATAGGCAATTAATGTCCCTAGGAGAGAGCAGTTTCATAGGTTAGTGGTATAGTCAGTGCTTTTATTCTAAAGTATTCTACTCTCAAATTAATCCCATCCTCTGCGGATGGTTCTTTTGTATTCACCACATAATCGACTGCAGAAAAGACTACATTTGAGCGACATTCAAGGGTCTGACTTAGCCACAAAGGCCGGCAAACTAGTAAGGTCCAGAGAACGCCACATGTAACGCCATTCCACTGTGACATTCTGGGGGGTGGGCAGTGGAACTGCCAAGTGAGACTACTTATATTTCCTTTGAAAACACGAGCAGCTCAACATCTGAGGATTTGAATCAGTGACGTAGAACCGAATGATCAAAGAAGAGTAAGGGGTTTAACACCTGTCTATTTCTCATTAGAATAAACTGGAGGGACTCGGAAAGTCTTCTGGTTGTCATTTGCAAATGAAAGACATATGAGAAATATGCATCAGTATTAATGTGATTAATCGTTTCACTGCTTTGATGTTTAAGAGTAAAATAGGAAGAGCATCTTTAAGCACTGGGAATGAATTGCAAGTATTGGGTGAAACAAGCTGAATATTTTTATTGGTTGTATAGGTCAGTATAAGTGCATGAACTTGTGCATAACATAAATGGAACTTTGTGTGCAGGTATGCCCAAGAAATAACTATTAGAATTTACTGGGACCAGGGAGATAGCTGGTAGAATGAGTGCTTGCCTGGCAAACTCAGGGGCCTAAGTTTAAACCCTAGTTAAAGAAAAAAAAAAAAGAATTTACTTAGCTCTGAGGGCAGTAGCAATTGAAACTTAAGTCAGCTTACATAGGTTCTGATAAAAGCCACCAGGTCTACATGTATTTCAATTGAACATTTCTTTTTCACTCTGCTGTATAGATAATAGATTTACTAGCTTACTTCTGCGCCATAACAGAATATTGTGGCCACCAACATAGTTGTCACCACTTCCAACTGCTGAAGACATGGTACTGGGGCTGCCTTATTGACCCAAGGATGACCAAATATGATTTTGGGTTTTCTCTTATTTTGGAATTGTAACTATTGCTGCGTCTGGAGAGGACAGGTGATGAGTGTCTCCGCTGAAGAGCAATAAGTCTCTCTCTCATACAGGAACACCAAGAATCTGCTAAGATCTGAAAAATTCACCTGCCCATCACCATCACCAACCCCAAATATCAGAACTGGAGAGGAGTGTATGAAAGTGCAAACTTCAGTGAATATTTGGTAGGTAACGTAAACTAGGCATCAAGTCTGTACTTGTCAATAAAGAAGAGAAATGAAGTCTCTTGTATTGTGACAAGTGAGTGAAATGAACAGAACAATCATATAAGTGTACCACGCATTAAGTCAGTGGTCTAAGAAGCCTTGGTTCTTCTGTGCACAAATCTGAAAGAAGGGATTTGGAGAAGCGAGGGAAGTTTCTGGGCAGAGGAGATGGATATGCAAAGAACCCGAGGCCTGTGCTGCTGAAGGGACACCAGAGAAGCCAGGAGCATGCTGGGCAAGAGACAGGAACCTGGAGGAGGTCAGGTGGATGCTGATAGAATGGGAAGGGAAAGAGCAAATCACGCAGGATTCTGCAGCAGATGAAAATGAATTTGTATTCATTTTTTGAGAGCATTGGGAAATGATTGGCACTATCTGAGCTAGCAAGGGGAAGAGGATTTATTTCCATAGCCCCTCCACCTGCCACCATTCCACACACTTACCCCATCACTCAGGAAAACTGGAAGCAGAGAAATTGGAAGCACTTCACAGTTAGTACTTACTGAGACCCGAAATGTCGAAGCCAATCTGCTCTGAGGAGAGCCAGGAGAGCTTGGCTCTGGCCCTGGCTCTGGCAGTTTATGTGAGTTTGTGTGTGCTTTCCAGGTAAAAGATTCTGATGGCCAGAGATAGGCCTGTGACACTCTGCCATGGCAAGCCTAGAGAGCCACCATATCAACTGTACTGTTGCACCGTTGAGTGAATTTTCCATGAGCCAAGCTGATGCTCAATTTGGCTACCCAGAGGGAAGTTTGCCCAGGATGGCAGCCTTTTGAGAAGAGAAGACCCAAGCTGAAGGGATCTTTGGGCTGCTTCCTCTGTTGGCAGCATAAGGGATCAGCTATAGAGAAGACAACACTCAAGGCAGAGATTTTAGCTCTGTAGAGATCCTCCTGGGGCCTCTCAAGGAGACTGTGTACTTATCCAAGGCATCCCTGACACACAGAGGGCTAGAACTGCCACCCAAGGTCGAAAGTGAAATAGCAATATTCGGAGGGGCCCATTTGGATGAAGGGGAACAGGAGAGAGAGAGAGGGAGGAGCAGAGACACAGCAAGGGACAATTGGGTGTGATGTGTGATAAGGTAGAAGCTGTGAGCTAGGAGGGAACCTCATATTTTGCTGGAAGTGAACGAGCTTTTACATACTTAATTATGAGTCATAATTATCAAAGGAAGACCTATAACTGAAGATAATTCAAAAGTCATAAGATGCTTTTGAGAGGCATTGAGGAATTGGGGAGATGAAAGCCGAAAGTGTACACTTAGCACAATAAGTTGTGAGTAAAAAGCACAGCCTTCCTTTACATATTATTGAATTAAGACAGCTATGAAACTGGTTCTGGGAACTTAAACAATGACCATATAAAGCAAGGTGATGGTGGTAAGCATGAAGAAAATCGTGCATGAGA